GCAGCAGGGTGAGCTGCAGCAGGGTGAGCTGCAGCAGGGTGAGCTGCAGCAAGGTGAGCTGCAGCTGAGTAGAGGACAAACTAAAGCAGTCAACGTTCAGAGGAAAACGTTCAGTACGTCTGGAGAACAGCAGAGAGCTGCAGGATGGATGGATGATGGATGAGTGACTCAGCTGATCTAACCTCTAAAATCAGCTGTGGACTTCCTTCCTGTCAGTGATGTCATCAACATGGCTGCTGTGTCTCTCTCCTCTGACCCAGGGGGTTCAGTCCAGGAAAGTTGGTTCTGATGGAGCCGCCAGCTCTCAGTGCTGGTCTGTCAGCCTACATCATCCCCACTGGTTCTAACTGGTTCCATCTGGTTCTAACTGGTTCTAACTGGTTCCATCTGGTTTTAACTGGTTCCAACATGAACTAAAAGTTATTTTTCTCTCTATCCTTTCTCCTTCCCTCCGTCTCTTCTTCACCTCTGAATGATCCCTCATTCTAAATTTACTCGTTGTTTAATCTGTCGTTCCCTGGGGTTTAATTTATCTGCCCCCGCCTCCTGTCTGGTTCGGCCTCTTTCTTTAATTAAGGGGGTAATAAATAACGGCCTGGATCTGCAGCTCTTAATGTGATTGGTTCGATGGAGGCAGAGTGTAAATGGCAGCGCTGTGTGGTCTGGGCCGGCCAGAACAACGTGATCAGAATAAACTCACCCATGTCCCTGAACGCCTCCATGGGTCCCAGTCTCTGTGCTGAACTGGTTTCCTGTTAAACTGGAACCACATTCAGGAAAATCTGGATTCCTCCTGATCCAGTCAGTTTATTTAAACCGATCCTGAAGGAAGTTTTTCTCATTTTTGTTCCCTTATCTGCTGATCAATCTCAACTTCTGCTGTTTGTTTCTGCATTAAGATGTGAAGGAAAAGTGAAAAAAAACTTTGTCTTTGATCTCCTCCTTTCATTGCATTATTTCTTTATTATTGATCACACTTTAACTCTGTCAGCATTTCCTGCTCTGGTTTAATCCCAGCCGTTAACCTGGAAAACTTTAACGTTCTTTCAGTCGTCTGGAGGTTTTTACTGGACACAAGCTCTGATTTTACCAGATGAACATGAACCTCTGACTGACCTTTAGCCAGAGGAAGCAGGTTAAAGGTCGGAGGTGACTGATGGATGGACTTCCTGTCTGCCCTCAGGACCTGGCGGCGCTGGTAGCTAACGGCACGGTGACCAGCAAACCTCCGGTCACCCTGCGACTCGTCATCCCGGCCAGCCAGTGCGGCTCGCTCATCGGCAAAGGAGGGTCAAAGATCAAGGAGATCAGAGAGGTGAGTCTGGACCAATCAGAGGCAGGCTGAGGTCAGGAGGAACAGGTCAGACAGAGAAACACAGTGCCACCTGGTGGTCTAGGATGGCATACAGAAATACTAACATAGGCTGCATTCACAGTCTGGGTGCTAAGTTCCAGCAGGTGAATTGTGTGTGTGCGTGTGTGTATGTGTGTGTGTGTGTGTGTAGACGACAGGTGCGCAGGTTCAGGTGGCCGGCGACCTTCTCCCCAACTCCACGGAGAGGGAGGTGACGATATCCGGAGGGCAGGACGCCATCATCCAGTGTGTGAAGCTGATCTGCACGGTGATCCTGGAGGTACGATTTCATCCTGAGGCTCCGTCATGATCCTGACGGGATCAGGACACAAAATCATTCCTAAAATCATTTCTGATCAGGGATGACTGGTGGAACAGGGTCAAAGGTCGACCATTGATGTTTGAATAAACAGAGATTACAGAGCATCGCATTACAAAAGACAGACGAAAATGGCAACGTCAAACTAAGTTTTTTGTGCTGATTTGAGGTTTTTGGGTTTTCTGAAAGAGTTAATGCACTGAAGGGAAACATGCGGCTAACTGTCCCATCCTCTGATGGCTCTGTGCCTTACCAGAGGCACCAGACTATGAAAATGAAAGTCCAAACCTTGGCAGCGTTTTGTGCTCCATGCTGGTTTTCATCCTTCACTTCCTGTTTATTGCAGCCATTTTATCCTCAGCGTCTGATGAAATCGTCTAAGTCTTGCAGCCTGGTTGATTTTCTCCAAACCTGTAGATGGAAACACGACTAACTCACTTCTTTTTTCTTTCTTTTGGCGACATTTTAAAGTTTGCTCAAAGTTCACATGACGACTGGAGGGAAATA